ACTATATATATATATATATATATATATATATAAAATATTTTATTTAATATTTATATAAAATGTTATTTTAGCATTATTTCAATTAACAAAATTTTTAAAACAATTTTAAGGTTTGGTCATAGTTAATGTTGAATGAAAATCCAGTCATTATTTAAGTTAGTAATTAAACTTACAGTTAGTTACCAAGACGACAATGTTCAAAAATGTTCATTTTAAGTTTTTCATCTAATATTTATATTATTATTTCAGCTTTATTTCAATTTACAAAAATGTTTTTAATAAGTTCACATTTGCCGTTGTTTGGTGACATTTTGCGGGCAAAACAGTCAGTCCAATAGGAATCCATGTGATAAGGAGTTTCAGATTAAGGTGAAAAATTTACAAATTTTGCTAATTTTCAAGTTTCCACACCTTTAGTTTTAGTTAAACATTAACAACACTGCCACATAGCAACATTCTGAAATACCTTAGAAACCGCATAGCAACACCCTGTCAACCACCCACAACAGTCTAACACTGTGAACCTTTCAAATACACAATCACTGAAATTCTCATTAGAAAATGTACAAGTCTAGCTTATATTTGCAGCTATGTGCAATTCCATATTGCCATTTGCTCTTTTCTTTTAGCCATCCCCCTCTCTCTCTCTCTCTCTCTCTCTATCTATCTATCTATCTATCTATCTCTCTATCTACCTATCTATCCCCTCTTTCTTTTTCCCCTTGGAATCTCTCCATCATTGCTTGTATTTGCTCTATGTATTTGCCCGTCTGGCTGCATCCATCGTCTCCAAACACCACTGGAATGAGAAAGAGAGAGGGGAGTCTACCGTTACCATGGTAACCAAGCTCATGTAGGTAAATCAATGACATCACATAGCTAGCTGGCATACAGGGGACTGAGACCCAGAGAGAGGAAGAGCATTGAAAGACAGAGACTTCATGAAACGACATTCGCATTTCACTTCCATAAAGCGACGTATCTGTGCGTGAAACGGGAGGAAATGTAGGGCGAGACTTGGATTTTTTCTTCAGGAGCTGATTGGATCTTGCAATGTGAGCATTATGTATCAGAATGTGAGTTTGCAGTGGATTGTAGGGGTTTGTTCCCCTCCTCAAAAACCACTGGCACACACTTTTGAGGATTTTTTACTGGGACGTGAAGGCTGAAGGTCAAGTTCACCCTCCAGAGCATCTCCATGCAACCCAATGGTAATGATTCTTAAAATCTGTCTTAAAATGTAATGTAAACTTAAAATGTAATGTTAATATGCATTAAATGACTGTATTAATACTGGCACCTACACCTACCACAGTAAAATAAAACTGTGACTGAACAGTTATTTGGCTATTAGTAACCATCAGCTGAAACCTTGTTTCTCAGGCAGTTATGATGAGAGTTTTCTGTGGAAAAACATGCGCTGAATCGTGACGTGCACAATAAGACCAGGAGTGTGTATTAAAGTAAATAGGGTCCATTGTGATTTCATGTTGACTGTTAGCTTCAGGATGCAGAGAGAGACTAAGGAAGTTATTACAGTTCATAGATGGAGAAACAGCAGATGAGGAGAGGAGAACTAGATACAGAAAGTCAGCCGAGAATGTAGCTGATTAATTAGTGATGGTATCATACCTTCATCAGTCTGTGAGGACATGAGAAATCCACAGTGAACAGACAGAGAGTGAGAGACTGACAGCTTGATGGTACGATTGAGAATGTAATCAGGTGCAAGTAGTGTGTGTGTGTGTGTGTGTGTGAACATGTATTATGGTGGGATGTAATATATGGATGCTCTCAACCTGAAAGCATGAGCATTCACATACTGTACCATTTTACTTCTGAATTTAGACATACTTCATATTGAAATAGAATATTTAATGGGATTTTTATTTTGCAAGCAATATCCATCCATTCTATTTTATTTTATTTTATCGTTTATAAATGGTTCCAATTGGTTCCAAGTTGAATGCAAAGATGTAACTATTTATTTAGTTTTATAAATAATTTCATTTAATAAAAATTAGTATTAATAATAGTATGAATAATGATATTAATATTAATAATAGTTGTTGTTGTTGTTGTTATTTTTATGCTTTTTATTTTTATTTTATTTTTTAAACTTTTTTTCCATCTAGAATAGCGTGCACCGATGAATCATGGATGGTATTTTTAAAAATAAAGTGGAAAAGGTCACATGAGCATTTGCCTACAATTTTACTTCTGTATTTTGACATACTTTAGAACAAAAATGAAAAAAAAAATCTAGTTTTTTTTGCAAACAACATCCATCCATGGATTCTGTTTATTTTATTTTAATTTATGATTACCTACAGTACAGTTATAGTTCATAAACAGTTCCAATCAGTTCCAAGTTGAATTTAAAGATGTAATTCTATTTTTTATTTGTTACATAATTATTTAATAATAAAAATATTATTATTATTATTTTGAGGCTTTTTGATGTTTTTCAGTCTAGAATAGCGTGCACAGGTAAATTATGCACAGATCAGCAATGTTTTATGAAAGTAAAAAGGGACAATTTTGATTTCATGTTGAATTTAAAGTATGCTAAATTGTAGTGATGTTGTAGATGTTTACCTACAGTACAGTTATAGTTCATAAACAGTTCCAAGTTGAATTTAAAGATGTAATTCTATTTTTTATTTGTTGCATAATTATTTAATAATAAAAATATTATTATTATTATTTTGAGGCTTTTTGATGTTTTTCAGTCTAGAATAGCGTGCACAGGTAAATTATGCACAGATCAGCAATGTTTTATGAAAGTAAAAAGGGACAATTTTGATTTCATGTTGAATTTAAAGTATGCTAAATTGTAGTGATGTTGTAGATGTCTGTGTCGTCATAGCAACAGTGTAGGCGGTTGTATGACATGCAAGTATAGAAGCAGGTGTGGCCTGCCGCAGTGTCTGAGTGTGTGTGTGTGAGAGTGAGAGAGAAACACACACACACACACACACACACACACACACACAAGAGGATGATGCCTGTGTGAGAGAGACATAATCAATGAGAGGCAGAGAGAGGGATTGAGAGAAATATGATTAGAGGCAGGTGGGTTTGCTTGTCAGGTCAGGGTGGGTTTTCATCTCATTTCTGTTCTTCCTCGCATACTGAACTACTCGTACTGTAACTAAAGCCCTTCTGCTACTGTATGTGTGTGTGTGTTCGGACGTGTGAATTAGTGTATTAAAAAGTGTCTTTTGTGTTCTGCTCTGACGCACACACTTCTGCTGGTCTTAGCGATTAGCTAAATAGTGTTTCAAAACATAGTGAGGCAGTGTTTTGAGTTTCACCAATATGAGAAGTCAAAGAAGCACTTCTGTTTTACATGGCCTGTATGAATCCAGAAAAAATTATGCCTTCTCAGGCAGTATCTGCAGGTATCCAGGGGTTGCATAACATCCCATCTATTAAGATGTCTACTAATAAGCACAGATTTGCCCTTCCTCTCATTACCAATGCTATCCCACAATCCTGTATCTGTGATGGTTAGTTGAATGGAATATGGCATTTAAGACTGTACAAATATTTGCACATTTTCATGTTCGGTTTATGGTTTTATTTCTACAGACAAATAAGAGTTTGAAAGCATTAAATACCAACTCCCGATTTGTTTCTAGAGAATGTGATGTTGTGGTGCCTTGAAAGCCTGAAAATCAATTTCCTTCATACAAAAACACTGTGTTAAACCAATGGCCTTTGGTTTTTGACACAATCAAGAACTTCTCTTAATTTTGTGTAAAATGTGGTTAAAAATATGCTTAGAATGTTTTTCTATTGGCTAACAGCAACAGTCAATCACCGAACAGAGCTCAAATACCTATATCCATATTTTTCTATTCCATCTTGAATGTTTTTCATGGATGAAATAAACTTCTGTTCAGATTTTTGGGGTCATTATAATATATATTTTTTTTAATAAGTGTCTTATACTTGCCAATTTATTGATTAAATTTTTTTTATAAATAAATGCATACATAAATAAAAAACAGTGATATTGTGCAAAATTATTACAGCTTAAAATGTTTTTCAGTGTCACGTGACCTTTCAAAAATCATTCAAATATGCTGATATGCTGCTCAAGAATCATTTTTATTTATTGTCAGTGCTGAAATCAGTTTGCTGCCTTGTGGAGACCATGATGCATTTTTTCACCATTTATTTGAAATAGACAAGTTTTGCAGCATTTTAAATGTCTTTACTGTCACTTTTGATCAATTTAATGCATCCTGGCTGAATAAATATATTAATTACTTTTGAATGCTAGTTTGTGTTTCAATAGATGTAAACCTGCATAACTCATTACTCTTTCCCTTCGGTCTCTCTCTCTCATTCTCTTAGCAGCCACATTACTGGAGTTTTAAGGTAAGAGACATCTCTCCCTCTCCAGATGTATGTGTATGCATGTTTATGAGTTTCTGCATGTTTGTGTAGCTTTAATGATCCTCAAGGAAAACTTCAGATGCAAAACATCACAATATATCCACACCGTGCAATCAAACTAAACGATGCATGACACAAAATGGCACTGAGTGAATGAAATGTATGAATACATTAGCTGGTAATGGTCTACTGAATGAATGGTGAAACACTGCTCTTGCACACTGCCTCACAGGGAGTAACATTTAACGTTAAAGTGTGCACAGTGCATTCTGAAGGTGCATACTGGGATAATCCAGCGGCTCCGTAGGAGCATTTATTATGGAAACTATATGGCAAATTATTTATTTATAGACTCTGTGCATTTCCTGGAAATCCATCTTCAAGACAAACTCCTCCACAAGGTTCCAGAGCACTGACTCACCTCCATTGTAAATGCAACCTAGAACATCGAACTCCTCAAGGGACTTCTGCAGGTCTTCAAGATGTGAGAAGTGAAGCAACCGGTCTGCATCCCCTAGGGGCGCTCGGGACGCCTACAGTCTCTTTGGCACTGGGACAATGCTGGAACTCCTCCAGAGCTGAGACACCTTTCACAGGATCAGGAGAGAGGACAGGTGTTGAAGAAACCTACGGAGCATCCCGAGGCTGATTTGGTCAAGCTGTGCATGGCCTTAATCGACTTCTTTAACTCCCTGGAGAGCTGAACGTGACAAACCTACGATCTGAAGTGTTACTGAGATCCTTTTGAGCAAGAAACTTGCCTTCAGCTTTTTTTCTGGTCTGCTCTGTTCTTGTAAGCTGTTTAAACCTTCAGATGAAAAGCGTTTTTCAGATGGCGAATAGAGTGAAAACCAGGAACATTAACTAGTTCGGTGGTCAAAATCATTGAAATCTCACTTGCTATTATCTATGAATTTTAACATTGTTTAATTGTTGTGGGTTCCATGTATGCCTAATATTATTATAATGAATAATTATGATGTTTACTGAACCTTACTAGTTTTAATACTATTCGTATTCACCAAAAATCACACTATAAAAATAGTAAATAATAACCAAAGAGCAAACCGATCAAAACAGTATCATATTATAACAAAATTATGACTTTACAAAAACCATTACAAAAATAAATAACCTATGATAAATAAAACTGTATTTAACAAATATTTGTATTTAATATTTTTGTATTTCATATTTTCATTTTCACAAACCGTAATTAACACCATTTTTTAAACATCTTATCCACCTTTTTCTTGTTGTAAAAATGGGCGCGGCCATTTGTAAATTCTATGGGTCTGGCTTCCGGTCTCATGTCCACTCCGTCCCGCTATTTTTATCTGAACAAAATAGTTTGTTTTGCTGCTTGATATTGAAAGTTGGTGTAAATGTTACTTCATGCTTACTACCCCTAATTATGATTATTTGCATTTTAGACTTATTTTGAGCACAAAAGTATATGCTTTCTGCAAATGTAGTTGTTGCAGGTGTAACCGTTTAGTCAATTATTACTTTATTTATTCACTGACGGAACTTTCGAGAACATTTCAAATTGTTCCCAAAACAGCACAAAACAAACAAACAGTATTACTTTAACATGAATAGTTAGTGACTATGTCACCATGAAGCTTGAAACCAATAACCGTTACTACATTTGAATTTGAATTTACTTCACGACCGTTAAAAAAGTATGTTCTATATAGTATGAATATGGGTAGTATTATGAATGAAATTCGTACGTACTACATCCGCCATGTGGTTACTGTCACATGACCTACCAACGTCAGTTGCGTCGCATCCCTGCCATTCATAAATACTCTCCCATGGCCTCATGGGATAGTAAAGTGTCCATCGAATGTGCACTTCAGAATCCGGGCGGAAGAAGTAGGTCATCCTGGTACTTTTCACATACTATTTTTCGAATACTATGAATTCGGACATACTACTCACCTCACATACTTGCTGCGTTCAAAAGATCTTAAAGGGGTCATATGATGCTATTTTAAAGATCATTATTTTGTGTATTTGGTGTAACAGAATATGTTGACATGCTTTAATGTTCAAAAAACACATTATTTTTCAAATACTGTACATTATTGTAGGTCCTCTATGCCCCGCCTCTCTCAAACACGTTGTTTTCAACAAAGGTGGCTGACTCTTAACTTTTATAAAGAATATCTCTTTGGATTTGAGACTTTAGTCTTTGCAACTTTACAGATCTTCTTTATGCACCAAGAGCTTGTAACACTCCAAAGAGAAAGGAAAACTTGAAATCGCATCATATGACCCCTTTAAATGCTGCCTTCGGAGGACTCATTCCAAGGTAGAAAGGCATCAAGGCACGTCCGAATCCAAAGTTAGCTTCCCTTCCTATCTAACGAGATACTTTCATTTGATCGATTTTTGTAGGCAGCAATGTATCCTTCGCTGCATTTGATATCCCACAATCCTGTGTGTTCCATTCCGTGATGGTTGAACTTAGCTTCCCTTCCTATCTAACGAGATACTTTAATTTGATCGATTTTTGTAGGCAGCAATGTATCCTTCGCTGCCTTTGATATCCCACAATCCTGTGTGTTCCATTCCGTGATGGTTGAACTAAAAAATAAATATGGCGTCTGAAAGTTGCGTTTGGTGGTCAGTTTGTGACATATTTCTGACTAACCTTTTGCACTTTTGATGTTAGTTCTAGCGAGAAATCAATATTATAGTAATTAAATATTAGTTCTATTTTGTTGTAGATCATTAAACTGTTACGCTGCCTCAGAAGCCTGTCCGAAATCAGTTTCATGAGGTGTCTTCGTGCAAAAACGCTGCCTGCAAAGTCATTGCCTGATAGGGCAGCGAGGCAGCAAGTCAGCTGCCTAGGATTTCGGACGCAGCCACTGTTTTTTGCCTATATAGTAGGGAAGTATGCAATTTTGGATGAAATATTGCTCTGCATGGTTGCCAGGTCTGCGTAACAAAACCTGCCCAACTGCCACTCAAAACTAGTCCAATCGCGTTCCGCGGCAAATTGGCGTTCCAAGTCGCGTTCTGGTCCTCGCTGCAGAACACAAGATCCAGGGGGCGTGGTTAGATCCAGATCCAACTTCTCCCACCTTACATATACCTAAACCTACCCGTCTCCACCCCTGATCTCTAAACCCACCCATCTCCACCAGAGCCATAGGTGGAGATGGGTGGGTTCTATGGCTCTGATCTCCACCCCTAAACCTACCAATCTCCACCCCCTAGATGTGGATCCAACCACGCCCTCCGGATCTTGTGTTCTGCAGTGAGGGGCTACTGTGTTCCTGGGTGGCGGCAATCTCACAGCGCCCTCTGTGGTGAAAATAATCACTACACATTTGCTCTGGTAACAGGCAGTGTAGGTCGTTTTTTGCAATGTACTGTTATGCACGTGTTGTAAAACGGGGAGATTTCCGAAGACAGGAAACTAAAAGCCTCCTGGTTACCCTAGATTGGAAGCTCTTTGACAGCTTCTGGCATGTGGAAACGCAGGGCTCGCTTTGGTTAAATTGGCCCCAGGTGTACCGATGAGCTCGCGGCATGCTGGACTACAAGAACCGTCCGCTGTGCTGAACCAGGTACTTTCATCACTGTTGGATTTTCTCACGTGCATATATTAGATCTGAATATTAATAATGGATATCAATAATGAATAGATTGTTAAAAATTCAGCAATTTATAATTAGTTGCCATTTAGACACTTCATACTGGGCGATTGTAAATGCATTTATAGCTGGGACAGTTCTGCCCTGAAGTGTCTCTCTCAAGTACTCGATCGTCGGGCCTCGACAGATTGCATTTCCCTGAATCCCTCTTCTCTAATTGTTTCCTGTCCGCCAGTGTCCAATCCTGTTAAAGGTAAAAATCCCATAAAATCTTTTCAAAAGGAGCCAGTGTTAGCCGGGGTTGCTGTAACCTGTAAGATACACTACTGTTCAAAGATTTTTTTTAAATGTCTCTTATGCTCACTAAGGCTACATTTATTTAATCAAAAAATACAGTAAAAACAGTACAAATACGAAATATTATTGCAATTTAAAATAGACATTTGAATGCATTTTAAAATATAATTTGTTCTGAATTTTCAGCATCATTACTCCAGTCTTCAGTGTCACATGATCCTTCAGAAATCATTCTAATATGCTGATTTGCTGCTCAAGAAACATTTCTGATTATTAGCAATGTTGAAAACGGTTGTGCTGCTTAGTATTTTTGTGGAAGCCTTTATACTTTTTCAGGATTTTTAATGAATAGAAAGAATTTATTTTAAAATAAGAACAGCATTTACTTTTATTAACTTTTTTGCGAGAATGTAAGAGTCTGAATAGTAATTTTGGATAAATGTAATCCTGAATAGGATATGTGAGCATTATAGGTGATAATTAGAGTGTGACGACAATTATTTTTATTTTTTTGTCTTTCTGTTTCTTTCGCTCTCAGAAAAATAATAAATAATACTACATAAATAAAGAATTGCTTTGTTGTGGGGCTTGCATAAACTTAAAACGTTAACTAAATAAATTAAATAAATGCAGCCTTGGTGAGTAGAAAAAAAAAACATTAAAAACTTTCAGATCTTTATATTAAATCAAGTCTCTACAAGTGCTGTGTATCATTGCCCAAGATGTCAGTCCTGGATTAACATTTTCCTCCCCCTGATCAATCGATCAGCAGCCTTTGAAGTGAAGGTGAAGAATTTTGCATCTGTATGGCAGCTGGATCAATATTACAAAGACTGAGTTCCTCGACTTCCTTCTGGATGCTGTCTGTGAATCTCTGTTTCCAGGAAGAGTGGAGACGTGGACTTCAGTGCAAACTCCGATCAGTATAAGCACCAAAGCTGTAACTGTCTGTGTCGAGCTCAAATGTCTGACACCAGGCTTGCGGTGTGAGGTGAACTGTACGAGTGACACTACACGGAGCTGTCGCTGCAGAAGCATACGCAGGCCTGTCACTGACAACAAATCACTCAAGAAAGAGGAGACTCATGGAAGATGCAGGCAGTTGTGATGGGTTAAGAGACTGCTGGATGACTGTGCACCTGGAAAGCCATCATAACCAAATACTCTCAATGTCATTGACACATCATGTCCATTTAATTTAAGATGCACTTTTTATTGTCTTGACAGAACTGTGTTTGTGTGTCAGGGTTATTATAGTTAACTAAAACGTCAATTTAAACCACGAAAAAATGTATTTAAAAATGTTGTTACTTGAAATAAAATTTAAAAAAAGTCTTAAACTTATTTTATTTCAGCTTGTTGCCAAGGCAGTATTTCTCATTTTCATTTAGTCTAACTTGAGGCACTAAAATAACTGAAATAAAAATGAATAAAAACTTTATAGAAATAAAAAAAAACTAATAAAATAACAGAATTGTGTGTCAAGGTTATTATATTTAACTAAATCTAAAATTAAAACCACAAATTAAAATCAATTTTGTTACTTGAAATGAAATGAATTTTCACTAAAATAAAATCTAAAAACGTAAACATATTTTATTTCAGAAAATTGCCAAAACGGCATTCACTTCACAACATTTCTCGATTTTAACTTGATGTATTAAAATAACTAAAACTGAAATACAAATTAATTAAAGTTATATAGACCAAAACAACAACAACAAAAAACTAGGCTAAGTAAAAAATGTGTTACTATAATAAACTAAAAAAAACAAACAAACATAAAATAGACTTTAACTGTAACTTAAAATATTTTATTTCAGCTACAAAATTTTTCATTGTCATTTAGTTTAACTTGATTCTAAAAAAAAAAACTCATAAAAATCACAGAACCACACAACAAAATCACTAAAACTTTAAAATTAAAATGAATACAAAATATATACGAATTCTCTCATCATAAACAAAGTGCAAATGTGTGTACGATGTAAGTAAGATATTCATTTCACGGTATAAACAGCTTCAGTGATTATAATGGGAGTTGTTGAGAGTGCTTGAACTCTGTCTAGACTGAAGTTAATATTCTTTGATAATGCAAATATTCTTTGCTCTCTTTATGTACAATGAAAGTGTTATAATTAGTAACTTACAATGTTTTTATTAAATTTACGTTAAATACAAAGCCAGTCGTATTCAAAATATTCTATGACATGACACCCATATCTACAAGTTAAAAGACGGGTTTTATGCATAGGCTAGTTAATAGATTACACTAATATTATAGGCTACTTTTCCCATAGCCCATTATAGATAAACTAACACCACTGTGCCCTAATCCGTCCCTGCCCTCATGTCGTTTCAAACATTTCTTTTGTGGAACATAAAATAAGGTATTTTGAAGACTGTTGGTAACAAAGCTGTTTTGGTTACCAATCACTTTCATTGTAAAAATTTAGTAAATTCAATTAATCTTTTTTTTGTGATCTATAAAGGTGCAAAATGCATTTCCTTATATTTGAGAATCGTGATATTTTAATGATATAGTTAACAAGTTTGGGAAAATTTCGAATAAAAAAGGAACAACATTTCAACCCAGGGGGCCTTTAATCGGTCCCTGCCCAGGGCACCGCTGTGTCATAATCTGTCCCTGCATGCACAACGGCCACACTTCTCAATCAATAAGCTCTGTCGTGTTGATGCTGTCATGCTAATTAATGTATTTATTAAGGGGAATTGAGGTTAATTCACTCTTATTGTGAAGCCATTAACCTGTAGCCCATAGAGACAGATGCCAGAGTCGATGCTGCGATTCTCACTAGATTTATGCATCCATAATTACAATATATTGTCAAACGGTTACATTTATTTGGTTTGTAAATAGATGTTTGAAACTTGCAGCACATTCCTGATTATATCTCTCACTAGAATGGTATTCCAGGACTGTTAACACCCGTGAAATTTGGCATGGAGGGGCACAGCTGCAAACATCTGTCCTGTCCATCAAGACTTCACGCATTCTGATTGGCTGGAATGCATGTCAATCAAAATGTATTAGCCAATCAGAGGTGCAGGAACAGTGTGGTCAGGTTAAGATTCTTACGACTGCAAACTTTCTCTGTTATGCACCGCCACATCTCTGACATCCACATGTGCTGTGCTGAGATTTAATGAAAGCAGATATTGCTGTATTGGTGTGAGTAGAAACCTTTCCTCTTGAAAATTTGTAAAAATGAAGTATTTTTGCAATTTTTGTCAGTTTGTTAATCTTTTTGACATTTTGGTTTGTTATTTAGGAAACCTCTGGAATGTCAAATGTTTTTTGTATTATGTTACTTTAATTTTAGCTCTAAGTTAAATCATGTTTTTTTGCTAATTGAAAACCCATTGATTTGTTAAAAAAAATACACACACACACACACACACGGAAACGGTAACACATTGAATTAATTGTGAAATCGAAGTAGAAAGACTGAAATAGTATTTTCTACTCCAGTAACTTGTATTTACAACTTTGAAAAAAAATTACAGTATATATAAAAAAAATATACAGCAAAATCCACTTGAAGAAATTTAAATTGAAAGAAATTAATGCTTTTATTCAGGATGCATTAAACGGATCAAAAGTGACAGTAAAGACATTTATAATGTTACAAAGGTATTTCAAATAAATGCTATTCTTTTGAACTTTCTATTTGTCAAATAATTCTGAAAAGATATTTTTCACATAAATATAAAGGAGCACCACTATATTCAACACTGATACTAATAAGAAATATTTATATTACTGAAATGTGTATATATGTATATGTTTATTAAGGCATGCTAAAGGAATATTAAAAGTATTCAAATAGAAAACTAGAAAATATAAATTATGAAATCTTACGAGCTGAAAATAAACAGACATGCAAATATTTATTCATATGACAACATGAGTGAAGAGCTAAATTGAGAAATCAACATGAATTTGAGAATGTCTCATGTGGGTTGTCGTCTTTTGCTTCAGCCACAGCAGCAGTCGAGCTGACATGATCATGTTATCAGCATGATCTGAGAATGTTTCAGCCTGCATGTGTTTCCTTTCACTACTTTGGAGACACTCACTCACTCACACATCCTAATTTTCCCTAGATGCTCTTTTGCCTTCCCATCACAGAGGTTTCATTACCCTTGCAAAATTGCTACTTCTGCAATACGGGCAATTAGAGAATGTTTTCTCCCTCCCTCCCTCACACACACACACACACACACTGATCCGTCTGTCTCTGTCTCCTGCAGGCGCGGACTCCACGCAGCGCTGCGGGGCTGCAGCAGCAGTCGCTGGGTGAGCAGGTAGGAGGGCGAATGTGTTATGCGTCTGCGGAGAGTTTGGAAAGCATGGCCGACGCCGAGCTGCCGCTGGGCTTCAGTCGCTCTAACATCCTCAGACAGAGTCTTCCACTGGCACGATCGCCCAGCCAGGCTAAACTGAGAGCACCAGGTATGACACATCTACACTTTTGTGGCATTTTATTGCCACTTTTAATGTTAGTCAAGCTTTCGTGCACCATTTAGACCATTTTGGCACTCTCTATCTGACCTGGCTGGCTTTGTTGCATGTGAGCCTTTTATACTTCTGCTGTATATTTAAATAACCTCTATTTTTATTGGCTAACCTCCATATTGAGCGTAGTTTACAATCCTCAGGAAGGATCATGATGCTAAATACTGAAGCTAGGTTGGTATGTTCGATGGTATTAGAGTTATTAAATTATATAGATTGGATAGATAAGATACATTTTTTTATCTTTTTAAATAAAAAGATTTATTGAATTATATATATATATATATATATATATATAATGTATACAGTTCTTAAAAATGTTTTTGGAGGATCTGTATTTAGAACAGCATTTATTTTAAATGTATTTTTTTATACCATTAAATAAATTATAATTAATTTCTTCTTAATTCTCCATATGTGCATAGTGCATACAGTAATTATATTGATAATATAACAATTTATATATTGTAAAATAAAGTGATAAACAGTATAATGGAAATCTTTTATAAATATAATATAAATTTCTTATTTTTATTACTTTATATTTTTATGTCATTTACCAAACTGAATGGTTTAAAACCTAGAAATTTTGTCTGCTAAGTTTAATTGAAATTAAATACTTCCTATTTATTCTACATTCATAATTTACTACTAAAATTTTGGGGTTGGTAAGAACTAAGAAGTCATTTACGCTCGCCATGACTGCATTTATTTGATCAAAAATACAGTAGAAACCGTAATATTGTGAAATATTTTTATTTAAAATAAGTTTTCTATTTGAATATTTTTAAAAAATATAATTTATTTCTATGATCAAAGCTGAATTTTCAGCATCATTACTCCAGTCTTCAGTGTCACATGATCCTTCAGAAATCATTCTAATATGCTGATTTGCTGCTCAAGAAGCATTTAAGGATCAAAATGATTAACAATGCAGATTCATTTTCACAGCCTTCTTTGATCATATTTACCAAGGGTGCCAATAATTCTGACCACGACTGTATATATATATATATGGAAATTTGTCATGCAATTGAAATGCATCTACAAATTGCTCAACAGTAGATTGTGGCGCTAGCAACATCAGTGTCATAGGTTCAATTCTCAGGGCATGCATGAACTGATAAAAATGTGCACTTTGAATGCAGTTTAAGTGAAGCATCTACAGAAATATAGATTTATTTCCCTGCATGAGTCAGTTTTGCAGCTTAATTTCAATAAAAATTCTGGCTGAATCAGGGAGGGAGTTTTTACACTCTTAGCAGTTATGTAACCATACAAAATCAATTATACACAGTTAGTTCTGGTTCACTAATTTGATTGGACAAGCAGCGTTCAATATTTTGTATAGCTGCAAGAGAATGTATCACTGTTTGTATCACTCCACTTTTTTACCATTTTACTCTTGTGTTGTCATTATTTATGATTTATATTAGTTGTGTTTTTATTATAACTTATATAAAATATCAACTAAATCAATTTGTTGTGTCTTTCTAGCGGTGTTGTTTTTGCAGTTCGGTGACGAGACGCGGCGGGTGCACATCACTCATGAGCTGACCAGCATGGAGACGCTTCACGCCCTCATCGTGCACATGTTCCCTCAGAAACTGACGATGGGCGCGTTGCGTTCGCCCGGCACAGCTCTCCTTATGAAGGATGAGGCACGCAACATCTTCTACGAGCTGGAGGACCCTCGTGACATCCACGACCGATGTCTCATCAAGATTTACTGCAGAGAGACTCCGATACGAGACGCACACTACAATGCTCAACACACAGCTCACCACGTTCACCACACACACATCGCCAACGGAGACCTGCGGGTGAGGCAACACATGTGGTTAAAACCAGTAGCTGTGTAACATATTATGTCAAATAAAACATCCCAATGTCAGTAACTAATAACAAAAAGAAACATAAGAAGCATATTATATTATTCCAATTCTTAAATAAGTATTCATACATTTAAATTAATAATAATAAAATAATAATCAGATGACTATGCTCTCTTGTTTTTCACCTTAAAATATACAGTAGTTCATAGCTTACATAACATAATCTTACTGTAAATTACATGCATTATTCATTTTAGATATACATTTTCTCTATACAAAGATAATTAATGCTTTTTCCTTAAAATAAAAGTTTTACACTCTTTTACAGTAAAATAACATTTTGTTAAATATAATATAAATTGTAAGGTGTTTTATACTTTTTATATATTCTACATAAAACATAATTTTACCAATGTTTTACTGTAGAAGTACATGTACTGTCATTTTAGATATGCCTTTCTTCCTAAATTATAATTCGTACAAAGATAATTTATGCTTTACAATAACTTATTTACACAATTTTACAGTAAAACATTTTTTTTAATATAATAAAAATTCACCAAAAAAATAAGGTTATTCATTTTTTACCTCAACAAAATAATATGTTGTCTTGTATGCATGCAAGTTTTTCCCCCATTACATAAGAAAACTTATGCTACCAAAAGTTTGGGGTCAGTAAGATAGATTTTATTTATTTATTTGGAAATAAATTAATATTTGAATTCAGCAAGCAATGCATTAAGTTGATAAAAAATATTTAATGTTACAAAAGATTTCTATTTCAAATAAATGCTGTTCTTTTGAACTTTCTATTGATTAAATAATTTTTTTTAAAGTGTTTCATGGTTTCCAAAAGAATATGAAGCAGCACAACTGCTTTCAACATTGATAATAATAAGAAATGTTTCTTCAGCAGCAAATCAGCATATTAGAATGATTTCTGAAGATCATGTGACACTGAAGACTGGAGTAATGATGCTGAAAATTCAGCTTTGATCACAGAAATAAATTACATTTTAGAATACATTTAAATAGAAAACAGTTATTTAAAATTATAATAATATTTCACAATATCACTAATTTTACTGTATTTTTGATCAAATAAATGCAGCCTTGGTGAGCAGAAGAGACTTCTCTACACCAGAAGAAATCTAACCGACCCCAAACTTTTGAGTTGTTGTGTACAGTTACAGTTAAACAATTTCCAGGCTTTAAGCATTTTACAGCATAGTTTCACCTCCTAGATGATAATGATGAAGAACTCATCCTCAAATCTATATTGTGTGTATAAATGACAGAGAAAACATGCAATGGCACAGTTCTGTTCTGATACTATGAATTTTTTTTGTCATATGTCATATCTCCCGACTTCTTCCTCTCTGCCGTTCTGTCTCTCTCTTTCTGTCTGACTCCTCCAGAGAGAGCTGGTGTACACCTCGAGGGAATCGTCTCCCACGCGGCGTTTAAACACACTCCCGTCTTCCTCTCCTCCCTCTGGATCTCCGTCACGCTCGCAATCACGTCTTTCTTACACAGGTGTGCGTCCTTCCTCTTACGCGGGTCCCCATCCGTCGCCTCAGCTCCACCCCTATCAGCAACACCACGCCCACCCCGGAGGCCACGCCCCCCAGCAGGCCGGCCACACCCACCCTGCATTTTTCCCCTCCCCAAGTGCCATTCTAGAACGGCGTGATGTGAAACCAGATGAGGAAATTACATCGTCCTTGAAAAGCGTGGTGTTGCTAAAAAACGAAGCGATATACGCAGACCCGTACGCGCTCGTCCAGGATCCTCGGCTCAGCGTTGCTTCACCGCAAGCTCTGGCGTACCGCCGCGGATCTGTGCGCTCTATTGGTGGCTACCCCGCCGCGGCATTACAATGTGAGCTCGAGGGCGCCCTCTACAGGCCCGGCGGTCCCATATACGCAGATCCATATGCTACGATGGGTTTCCGCACCTTACCTCCAGCCTCGCCTCAAAAACTGTCTGATGGCAGGGATCCGTATGGTAGCCACCCGGGACGAGGGTCCCCTGGGAGACATGGGTTTCGTAAAGATGGCACTGTGTACATAGAGAGTCCCAAGAATCGTCCAGGAGGGCCACCTCTGTCTCTCTCTTTCTGTCTGACTCCTCCAGAGAGAGCTGGTGTACACCTCGAGGGAATCGTCTCCCACGCGGCGTTTAAACACACTCCCGTCTTCCTCTCCTCCCTCTGGATCTCCGTCACGCTCGCAATCACGTCTTTCTTACACAGGTGTGCGTCCTTCCTCTTACGCGGGTCCCCATCCGTCGCCTCAGCTCCACCCCTATCAGCAACACCACGCCCACCCCGGAGGCCACGCCCCCCAGCAGGCCGGCCACACCCACCCTGCATTTTTCCCCTCCCCAAGTGCCATTCTAGAACGGCGTGATGTGAAACCAGATGAGGAAATTACATCGTCCTTGAAAAGCGTGGTGTTGCTAAAAAACGAAGCGATATACGCAGACCCGTACGCGCTCGTCCAGGATCCTCGGCTCAGCGTTGCTTCACCGCAAGCTCTGGCGTACCGCCGCGGATCTGTGCGCTCTATTGGTGGCTACCCCGCCGCGGCATTACAATGTGAGCTCGAGGGCGCCCTCTACAGGCCCGGCGGTCCCATATACGCAGATCCATATGCTACGATGGGTTTCCGCACCTTACCTCCAGCCTCGCCTCAAAAACTGTCTGATGGCAGGGATCCGTATGGTAGCCACCCGGGACGAGGGTCCCCTGGGAGACATGGGTTTCATAAAGATGGCACTGTGTACATAGAGAGTCCCAAGAATCGTCCAGGAGGACCACCTCTGGAGCAGATACGTATGCTCGGGGGCCCCGGAGGAGACGGAGGGCCCTTACCAGTGTACGGCTCAACATTGCCTGGTAATGAAGAGACCAGGTGAGAGTCAGTTCTGCTTAGGTTTTCTCTCCTTAAAGGGATAGTTCACCCAAAAATGAAAATTCTGTCATCATTTACTCACCCTCATGTTATTCCAAACCTGTATGAGTTTCTTTCTTCTATTGAGCACAAAAGAAGATATTTTAAAGAATGTTGGTAACCAAACAGTTGACGGTAGCCATTGACTTTTGACTATGGAAGCTATGACAGCTGTCTACTGTTTGGTTATTCACATTCTTCAAAATATCTTCTTTTGTGAAGAAGATCGAAACTTATACAGATTTGGAACAACTTGTGGGTTGAAAATGCAAAAGATTTGCGAACAAATGCAATTTTTCTCAGAGGACCTGAAACGTTTTGCAAGAGATCGCAAAAGCATTGAAATATAGTTTTTCTTCTCACTTATTTCACTCACAAAAGATATTTTGAGGGGAACACAAAAGTTTTGGGAGCAAGCGCACAAGCATTGAAATATAGTTTTTCCGCCCACCTCATATAATTTCTATCACAGAAGATTTGTGAGAGAATACAGGTTTTCTCAGGGGAACTCAAAAGTTTTATGAGAGAACTTAAAAGATTTTGTGAATGAAGGCAAATTATATTATATTATATTATATTATATTATATTATATTTAATATTGATATACATTCTACTTGTTTATTATAATTTATATGTATTATTATAAATATATATTATTTTATTTTAATGTTTTTTTAAATATTCATTTTTATTTTATTTTATTTTAAATTATGTTTTATTATTATGAATTATAATCTATAATAAATATGACATTATTTTAAATATATATTTGTAATAATTTATAATGAATACATTTGACTTATTATTTTTAATTATAATAATATGTATTTTTAAATATATTTTATTTAGTATTATAAGAGTATGAAAACATTTTGTAAATATTATGTGAGTTTTTTTGGATGAACTGAAGTTTTGCGAGAGAATTTTGTTTGTATGCTTTTAATGGTATTTTGTATTTTTAGAGAGCGCATGGAGGCCATGGAGAAGCAGATAGCCAGTTTAACCGGATTAGTTCAGAGCGTTTTGACCCGAGGACCAGACAGCCCGTAAGAAATCTGGACTTCGGTCCAGTACTACTGAATATCACTATTAAACCTGAAACTTTTGAATGACTTTTGGAGCTGTCAACATTCATTTTAATGGTATTTTTTATAATGCACGTCCATGTAACTTATATTAGCATGTAAATGGAGTTTGTCCTCCAAGCTTCCTGTGTTTGTCTTGCAGTGAGAAAGCAGAAACAGCAAGCGACTGCTCTGCACCGGAGAGTGAGTACCATACTGTTTGAGTGTGTGTCAGTATAGCTTAAACATTTGTGGGAAACATTGTTAAAAAAGTTTAAAATATCAAAGATGAAGACATTTTATTACATGCACTACAAATCGTCACCTTTAAAAACCTCTAAATACATCCTTTCTCACAGATATATAATAAAATGAATGATAAATTATGATTTAGAAACTACCATACTAACAAACACAATCTACATAGGCCCATCATATTAATGCTTGAACATATTAATGCATGAGCATTGTTTGGCTTATAAGGTTACTAAAATAATCAAGTGAACACTAAGAGCTGACGGTGATATTCCAACAAAGCCTGAACTGTTTGTGCTTCAGAATAGCTGTTACTAAACTAATTATGTTCACAAGAACGATTAAGTGATGCAGAGTAGGCGTATCAATTAACAGGTCATTAAATGAGTGAATGATGCATGGTGGTAATAAGACACGACTGTGCGCCGCACTAAAGGATGTTTGTCTAAATGACAGAAGCAGGCAGGCCAAGTCCTCAAGGACCGCAGTATGATCTGACTTCAAATCAAGCTGATTTGGATTGGTTTACATTAGCTAATGTTTGTTTGTGTTTTACGGCTGTAGTCCATGACTGAGTTCACGATTTGAGTATCAGTAATGTAAATGAACATGAACAGAATTCTTGCTAATGCCGCAGACACATTAAATTATATGATATTATATTATATTATATTATATTATATTATATTATATTATATTATATTATATTATATTTTTATATTTCAGCTGGAAGGTTTAGAAAACAAAAAGGTATATTACTCTATGTCTGGTTGTCTGTCACTCTCTTGGTTTCCCCTACGTGTGTTGCATTACAGATTGTGTTGCATTGCGATTTGTGCATTGCAATTTTGCGTCAGGAGTGTGTATAAAATGTTTGTATTGAGGGATCTCAGATCCTGGAGTTTGGAAACCGTCTAAGCATATACAGTGTCTATAAAAAGTATTCACCTCCTTTGACTTTTACATTTAATTAATTTAATACATATTATTTAAGATTGCAGAGCACTTTGTGTTGACAAACGGCAAAATTGTGAGTTAAATACTTAATGATTCATGTAGCACAAAAAGTCCAATGAGGTGTATGCTTTTATTGGCACTGGATATATATGTCTGTCCTATGGATTCTCCCCGAATGTTTTTGTTGTATGGAAATTCCCACTAACACTTGAATGTCAGTGTACTAGAATGTTTTGTCTTCCTTTTCCAGTTCCTAAAAGGACCTAGGACATCAAAGTCTGTTTCTGAGATTATGTAACAGTTTGAATGTATATGCAAACAAGGGTCTGAATTTGATTGTATGTTGCATGAATATACAACGTACTGTAGATGTACTGAGTTGTGTTGGGCTTGTTTTTGGATGTGACTCATAATGTACAAATCAAGACAAAGAATCAGATGCCTTTTGTTGTTCTTTTGTGGTTAATATGGAAATTAGGCATTTTCAGAAAGATTTAAATAGATTTAGACATTTAAAGCAGAATGACTAACAGGCTTATGGATAATCAGATTTCACTATTACACATTTTAAATGAAATTGCATGTGTTTTTATGTAAGTTCAATGTTTTATGTATGACGTTTGCTCCTGTGGATTGGTAGTGTCATCGCCGTCTGCTCCTCTGGCCCTGATGCCGCCTCCGCCCACTGCAGCCTCTCAGCCAATAGCAATGTCCCGTTTCCAAATGCAGCTGCACCTGACGGACCTGCAGCAGCACACAGCTGAACTGCGCAAACAGCTGACACAGCTACGCCAGTTACAGGTGTGTGTGTGTTTTGTGCGTTTGTAAGTCTCATGTAAGTTCTAAAAACTGCGGTGTGTTTAGATAGATAGATTTTTATTTTTCATTTATGATGTATATCAACTCTGACATTATATTGTATTTTTATTCATTTCAATTATGTATAAATTTATTATTTTTTATTTGAAATTTATAATTAATTAATATAAAATATATTTATTGTAATATTTATTATTTATATATATATATATATATATATACATACACATATATATAATTTATAATGAATAAATATGACATTAATTATTATTATTTTATAATAATATGTATTTTTATATAATATTTTATTTAATTATTATAATTTATTGTGCACTAGTGTGTATTATTTTGGGGACGGTTAACTGGTGATATTTTATATTTCAGCTGGAAGGTTTAGAAAGCAAATAAATTATATTACTTTTTTTTTGCTGTGTAATTAATCTTGTGCACAGGTGGGAATGAAATTTTGCATAATATTGCTAGATGAATAGCAAAACTTCTAACTTGTGACATATTCATTGGGGTAAAATGATTATAAATAATGCCTTAAAGAAATTCATTTTATTCACACAAAGCTCTGAAATGGCTTCAGAAGACTAGGGAGTTAGCACATAAATAATACATTTTTATGTTTTTTTGGAGCTTGACAGGCAATTGCATGGGAAATGTGTACTGTATGAAGAGCGTAATAAAATTTTAATGTATCTATTCTTTGGGTTTATATCTAACAATATTTTATTCATATATACAGGTTTGTATATCTGTGTGTTTTACAGTTGCAGAATCAGGACTCCGTTCAGGCGTTACTGAGGCAGACGGAGTCTGATTTGGGCATGTGTCTGATCGAGGCGTCTCGCACACAAGAAGATCCATTACAGCGGCAGCGTCTTCTTGTTGAAGAAGAGAGGCTACGCTACCTTAATGAAGAAGAACTTATTATACAACAACTACAGTGAGCCAAAGCATCTGCAACCTCTAAATGAGAACATATACTGCTGCATACGATTTGTGTTGGGTGTGATGTGTTCCTTTGTGTTTCCAGCGATCTCGAGCGCTCGGTGGAGGAAATGAGGATGGGGGCGGGACTTAACCATCACCTGGTGACGGAACAGGAAATAGAACAGAAGATTCTGGAGCTCAGGAGACTGGGAGAGACTGTCACTGACCTCAAGAGTGAGTGACCAGTGAAGAAGAGCAATTTGCACACCGTATACCGTTCATGCTACCGACCATTAATGATTATTTTAATTATATATAATACATTTTGTTTGTTTACACAAAATTTGTAATATACAATTGTAATGAACAACTAGTCTGTAACTAGTCATCATTCGAGCCATTCATTAGGGATTCGGATTGCACTAGGTGAGCTATATAGTTTTTGATTCACTGAAAAGAACCTGACTCATAGTTCGTTAAAAAGACTGTACTGATTGCTCTGTATGTTTTTGATTCACTTTAAAGGACCAGCTCATACTAGTCATTCGTTCAAGAGTCAGACTACACTGGTGGTGCTGTACTGTATGTTTTTGATTCACTAAAAAGTACTGACTCATAAGAGTCATTCGTTCGGGAATCAGACTTCACTGATCGTGCTGTATGTTTTTTTGATTCACAAAAAAAAAACTGGTTCATAAAACTAATTCATTCAGGAATCGGTTTAAACGTGTTGTGCTGTATGTTTTTGATTCACTAAAAAGAACCGACTCATAAGAGCCATTTCTTGTTTAAAGAGTCAGACTACACTGACTGTGATATATATTTTTGATTTACTAAACAGAACCGACTCATAAGAGTCATTTGTTCGGGAGTCGGACTACACTGGTTGAGCTGAATGGTTTTGATTCACTAAAAAGATCCATATCTTTAGAATGATTCGTTCATGAATCGCAATATACTGGTTGCGCAATATATTTTTGATTCAGTAAAAAGATCTGACTCATGAGAGTCATTCATTCAGGTTGGTTGCACTATATAGTTTTAGATCATAAGAGTAATTCGTTCTGTAATCAGACTACATTGGTCTTGGTCTTGCTCTGTACACAGTAGCGGTGTGGAAATCTATACAATCCAATTATAGGCTAATTCTATGTACTATGTTCTACAATTTATGTGTTTAGATCAGTTCCCCAATTTACAAAGTAAGATGCGTGTGGTGTTGAGGGTGGAGGTGGAAGCCGTCAAGTTTCTGAAAGAGGAACCGCTCAGACTGGAGGCCCTGTTGAAACGCTGCAGAAACATCACCAGTACACTCGCTCTGCTACGAAGGTAACGCACACAAACACACAAACATTCACTTCTGTTCAGATACGTTCTCTAGTGCCATGCCTAAAGAATTCCTCGGTGTGTGTTTGTATACAGGCAGGCATCAGAAGGTGTGTGGAGGACACCCGATGACTTCAGTAGTTCAGTTTCCAGTGCAAGTGACGCTGACTTCAGCAGGAGCTCTGATCTAGATATTCTCACCAGCCCTTCTCTAAATCTGCCCGACCTAGGAGGCACCTTATCAGGCACTGCCACTCTTTCTGCCTCCCTGGGCACTAATACCACAAATCCTGGCCTGACGAGTGCTTCTAGTATAGGTAAACACCAGTTTTACAGTCTCTTTGGGGTTTTGATTTATTTAAGGAGTAGTTGATCTTTTTTTTTTACTCTCCATCAAGCCATCCAAGATGTAGATTAGTTTTTCTTCATTGGAACAGATTTGGAGGAATTTAGCATTATATCACTTGCTCACCTCTGCAGTGAATGGGTGCCATCAGAATGAGAGTCCAAACAGCTGATAAAAACATCACAATAATCCACAAGTAATCCACACCACTCCAGTCCATCAGTTAATGTATTTGTAAGAAAGAAATCCATCATTAAGACCACTGCTTCCAGCTAAAATCTGAGCCCTCTATCCATAATATGGCTTTCTCCAATTAAAAAGTCGTCTGGTCTGAATCAGGAGAGAAATGTGCACAGATCAAGCACCGTTTACAAGTCAAAACAGTCCAAAACAGCTCTAAAAAATTACTTTAGGTGGTTTTTGATGTGAGACACAACAGGAGATGGACTTTTTCACCGGAGGAAGCGTTATTATGGATTATGGACTCGTATTTTTGGCCAGTTTTAAAAGCCTTAATGATACATTTGTTTCTTACAAACACACAAGTTTTCAGTTTACAAGATGTTAATTGATGGACTGGAGTGGTGTGGATTACTTGTGGATTATTGTGATGTTTTTATCAGCTGTTTGGACTCTCATTCTGATCTTTAACTGATATATTTAGAGAACAAGCTTTGGGAACATTTATTGGTTAATGCTTGCTGTATAATTTGTTATTTAAATGATTGACTGATTGATTGATTGATTGATTGATTGATTGATTGACTGATTTTAGGATGTACCACTAGTCTGTCTAACATGCTCGGCTCTGCCATTGGTGCCAGTATGAGCAGCAGTGGTATTCCTGGCAGCACTACGCTGGGTAACTGGCTGGCAGGGGCCGGGGCGACAGATCCCATCATGCCTGAACTGGACGGCAAGGTAAAGACCAGCGGCCTGGAAGATCTGCCCGCACGCAGAGAATCTGACAAAGGAGTGTCTGTGGAGGTCCGACTGGTAATGAACACACTAGTAACTAAATTTACTTCTCTTTCTGTTTTTTTTAAGTGTTTTGCTGCTTTAGTTTCAACAGTCATGGATATGTCGAAATAATAAAATGGTGATTTCCAAACCTGAAAGTTTTAAAAGTACTATAAATATAATCAAATAAATTTGACTTTTTCTTTTACATTAATATTACAATTTTAACATTTTAAAAGGTTTGAATCATTTTGCTAACTTCAGTCTTTTACTCTCTCCAAACTGTAAACACATGCATCACACCCCTGGTTAAGATTTATTTAAAGCTTGGGAACCTCTGTGCGATAACGCACGTGGGTGTGTGTCTTTAGGCTGCGGAGCGAGACTGGGAGGAAAAGAGAGCCAGTTTAACTCAGTTCAGCGCTCAAGACATCAATCGTCTGTTGGAGGAAACTCAGGCTGAGCTGATGAAGGCCATTCCAGATCTGGACTTCGCTGCCAAGCAGATCACCAAACCGGCCATACCGCCAAAACCCCAGCTGTCCTCCCTCCCAGCGCCCGGTTCAGCCTCCTCCACTCCTACCTTAACACCTGAACATCAGCCCAGCAAAACCCCACCAAAACCACCCAGCAAAGACGGCATCCCACGCAGGGGATCAGGTGAGTTAATATCATTACTGCAGCAAGAACTATAACAACTGCCTTATGATTTTGGCTATGTCTCATTATGATCTGACTGATCAATAGACAGATTAACAGGTTTATTGATCGATTGATTTGATTGATTGATCAGGGGAGTTGACTGTGCCACGGTATCGCACAGAGAAGCTGTCCAAGTCTCCGCCCCCTCCTCCTCCACGACGAAGTTTCCCATCAGGTCTTGGGCTCACGACCAACAGCAGTGGAGAAGTTATCACCATAAACAAGAGTGTGAAGGTAAACAATTTTCAAAAGTTAAAAGCGTTTTTGTAAAAAGCCTTATATCTTTTGAACATTAGGTGGCACTGTCTTTAAACTTTTCAGGCATGTTAAGGGCATGTTGTTGATTATGTGTACCAAATTTTGTGGCGATATATTAAAGCATTTAAAAAATATTACAGGTTGCGACAAATTTCAAAATTGCTGACAGGCAACATTCATCCGATCCTGGTAAAATTAGTATCAACGGATTCAGCATGACCCAAGGAATCTGTAGACACAAAGCTAATGATTTTCAGACATTTCAAAAGTTTTGAACAAAGATAGCTATTTTTTTGTATCTCATGACCTGTAGGTGGCACTGTTCCCAAATTTGGCATGTACACTCAGATCATGGTGCTAATGACGTGTGCCAAGTTTTGTTTCGATAGATCAAAGTTTTGCCAAGATATAACATCTATTCTACTTTATATATGCTAATTTTGGGTCAAAATCATTAGATTCAAATCAACATAACTTTTGAATACTGATCTCATGACCTGAAGGTGGCACTGTTTCCAAATTTGGCATGTACCCTCAGATCATGGTGCTAATTACGTGTGCCAAGTTTTGTTTCGATAGATCAAAGTTTTGCCAAGATATAACATCTATTCTACTTTATATATGCTAATTTTGGGTCAAAATCATTAGATTCACATCAACATAACTTTTGAATACTGATCTCATGACCTGAAGGTGGCACTGTTTCCAAATTTGGATTGACTGATTGATTGATTGATTGATTGATTGATTGATTGACTGATTTTAGGATGTACCACTAGTCTGTCTAACATGCTCGGCTCTGCCATTGGTGCCAGTATGAGCAGCAGTGGTATTCCTGGCAGCACTACGCTGGGTAACTGGCTGGCAGGGGCCGGGGCGACAGATCCCATCATGCCTGAACTGGACGGCAAGGTAAAGACCAGCGGCCTGGAAGATCTGCCCGCACGCAGAGAATCTGACAAAGGAGTGTCTGTGGAGGTCCGACTGGTAATGAACACACTAGTAACTAAATTTACTTCTCTTTCTGTTTTTTTTAAGTGTTTTGCTGCTTTAGTTTCAACAGTCATGGATATGTCGAAATAATAAAATGGTGATTTCCAAACCTGAAAGTTTTAAAAGTACTATAAATATAATCAAATAAATTTGACTTTTTCTTTTACATTAATATTACAATTTTAACATTTTAAAAGGTTTGAATCATTTTGCTAACTTCAGTCTTTTACTCTCTCCAAACTGTAAACACATGCATCACACCCCTGGTTAAGATTTATTTAAAGCTTGGGAACCTCTGTGCGATAACGCACGTGGGTGTGTGTCTTTAGGCTGCGGAGCGAGACTGGGAGGAAAAGAGAGCCAGTTTAACTCAGTTCAGCGCTCAAGACATCAATCGTCTGTTGGAGGAAACTCAGGCTGAGCTGATGAAGGCCATTCCAGATCTGGACTTCGCTGCCAAGCAGATCACCAAACCGGCCATACCGCCAAAACCCCAGCTGTCCTCCCTCCCAGCGCCCGGTTCAGCCTCCTCCACTCCTACCTTAACACCTGAACATCAGCCCAGCAAAACCCCACCAAAACCACCCAGCAAAGACGGCATCCCACGCAGGGGATCAGGTGAGTTAATATCATTACTGCAGCAAGAACTATAACAACTGCCTTATGATTTTGGCTATGTCTCATTATGATCTGACTGATCAATAGACAGATTAACAGGTTTATTGATCGATTGATTTGATTGATTGATCAGGGGAGTTGACTGTGCCACGGTATCGCACAGAGAAGCTGTCCAAGTCTCCGCCCCCTCCTCCTCCACGACGAAGTTTCCCATCAGGTCTTGGGCTCACGACCAACAGCAGTGGAGAAGTTATCACCATAAACAAGAGTGTGAAGGTAAACAATTTTCAAAAGTTAAAAGCGTTTTTGTAAAAAGCCTTATATCTTTTGAACATTAGGTGGCACTGTCTTTAAACTTTTCAGGCATGTTAAGGGCATGTTGTTGATTATGTGTACCAAATTTTGTGGCGATATATTAAAGCATTTAAAAAATATTACAGGTTGCGACAAATTTCAAAATTGCTGACAGGCAACATTCATCCGATCCTGGTAAAATTAGTATCAACGGATTCAGCATGACCCAAGGAATCTGTAGACACAAAGCTAATGATTTTCAGACATTTCAAAAGTTTTGAACAAAGATAGCTATTTTTTTGTATCTCATGACCTGTAGGTGGCACTGTTCCCAAATTTGGCATGTACACTCAGATCATGGTGCTAATGACGTGTGCCAAGTTTTGTTTCGATAGATCAAAGTTTTGCCAAGATATAACATCTATTCTACTTTATATATGCTAATTTTGGGTCAAAATCATTAGATTCAAATCAACATAACTTTTGAATACTGATCTCATGACCTGAAGGTGGCACTGTTTCCAAATTTGGCATGTACCCTCAGATCATGGTGCTAATTACGTGTGCCAAGTTTTGTTTCGATAGATCAAAGTTTTGCCAAGATATAACATCTATTCTACTTTATATATGCTAATTTTGGGTCAAAATCATTAGATTCACATCAACATAACTTTTGAATACTGATCTCATGACCTGAAGGTGGCGCTGTTTCCAAATTTGGCATGTACCCTCAGATCATAGTGCTAATGACATGTGCCAAGTTTTGTTTCGATAGATCAAAGTTTTGCCAAGATATAACATCTATTCTACTTTATATATGCTAATTTTGGGTCAAAATCATTAGATTCACATCAACATAACTTTTGAATACTGATCTCATGACCTGAAGGTGGCACTGTTTCCAAATTTGGCATGTACCCTCAGATCATGGTGCTGATGAAGTGTGCCAAGTTTTGTTTCAATAGATAAAAGTTTTGCCAAGATATAGCATCTATTCTACTTTATATAAATTTTGGGTCAAAATCATTAGATTCACATCATTATAACTTTTGAACACCGATCTCATAACCTGAAGGTGGCGCTGTTCCCAAATTGGGCATGTACACTTAGATCATGGTGCTGATGAAGTGTGCCAAGTTGTGTTTCGATAGATCAAAGTTTTGCCAAGATATAGCATCTATTCTGTATATTTTAATTTGGTCAAAAATCATTAGATTCACATCATCATCAACTTTTTAACACTGATCTCATGACCGGTAGGTGGCACTCTTCCTAAATTTGGCATGTGCCCTCAGATCATGGTACTGATGAAGTGTACAAAGTTTCGTTACAGTAGATCAAAGTTTTGCCAAGATATACATTATAATTTTGGGTCAATATCAATACTCACCTCATCATAACTTTTGAAAACTGATCGTCTGAGCCAGTTTTTTAATAATTGAACAAAATTTGAAGTATGAGTAGCATAGTAACAAATTCTAATGCTTTTGTTGTAATAATATGTACTTTGTACTTGATTAGCTGTTAACTGTTAAAGTTTTATTTCCTTTGCTGCAGCTGTTAATATTTCTTGTGCTTCATATCTTGCTGTGCCTGTAGATGTTTATTAGGTTGCTCTTTCATACATGTCTTATTTTTGTAGAAGTTGGAGAAGATAGAGAACAGAGAGGAGGTTGAAGTACCGATTCAATCCCAGACACCTCCCGTCAAACTGAGACGCCCATCGACTTCCGAAGGGCCCCGACCTTCATCCACACCTCCGGTCATCGCTGCTTCTGGGATGAAGGAAGATGAGGATGAAGATGAGAAGATAATGGCAGAGCTAGAGGTAAAAAGCTTACATACATCTGTCGGATGGATGAAATGGTGTTATTGTCACCGTTTCTTATGAGTACGTGTATGTGTACATATATGATGACACTGAGGTACAAAAACTCTTGATTGGTCTGTTATTCAGTAAATAGCCAAGAAATAATTTGTATTGCTTTTTGTCAAGACTTCAATACCACAGATTTGGGAATAATGTGTTGTTCATTTTCCTCCAAACTTTAACACGTCAATGCATTATTCCACACACACCAACACGACAGGCGTTTCAGAGAGCCCCAGTGAGACTGAGGGTCACTGCTGAGGTCACTCCTAACAGTGTTGACAGGGCAGGCCAGTGGATCAGCAACTCTCTGTGGAGAGAGGTAACGTGTTAACTGCTAGTCCTTCCTCTCAGGCCTTCCTATAACTTCTGCCATTGAGGTTTTTCCTGAACCTTACTAATGCACTCTGACACAAAACCTATTAATCTGTCATCTCTTCAAGTCTTTAACCAGCTCTGCTACTGCATGTTATTAGACAGCTTGAATGAGGTTTGGTTTTGAAACTTGGCTATAAAAAACACATTGGGAGCTAAATATGTTTTTCTAACCTTTTTAAGTGTTTCTTGACTTGTAATATTTGATATGTGAAAGTCTGTTTCCACCTAAGAGATTTTATAGTTTCTAAAAAATGGCAAATGTTTCTCTTATAATCTCTAATCTCTTATAATCTCTAATATAATATAATATAATATAATATAATAATAAAATGTT